CATTTGTAAATAGTAATGGAAGTGTGTGGATTTTAAAAACAGTCTGTACCTATTGTCTGACTAATGTTTTTGTATTTTGAAAGTTAATTTAATATTATATATATTTGAATAATTTTTTTAAATATCTAAATATTTAAGATTAAAATTTGGGTGCTTATTACTCATTTGTTATTGCAGTTGAGGATATATGTTGGCGGTATCCCAATGCCACAGAATTGAATATTTCTGGTACCCCTGCTATTCACTTGCTTGTTATGAAAGCAATCTCTTCATTAAGGTAAATTGCATTTTTAAGTATTTATGCTCATGCACGTATCCTATAATTGGTGATTATATAGTTTCCATTTTACATATTTAATTTTGAACTTTTTCTCAGGAATCTTGAGGTTTTAATCCTAGGGAAAGGGCAGCTAGGGGATCTCTTTTTCCATTCATTAGCAGAGTGTCAAATGCTGAAAAGTTTGATTGTCAATGATGCCACTCTTGGTAATGGTATTCAGGAAATACCTATAAACCATGAAAGACTGCGTCATCTTCAATTAACAAAGTGTCGTGTTATGCGCATATCCATCAGGTGAAATATTTTTATAATTTTAATTTATTTAACTGTCATGCGCTGTGATTTTGGTTACATTTTTGTGCTAAATCTGATCTTTTTGCAGGTGTCCACAACTTGAAACTCTATCATTGAAGCGCAGTAACATGGCACAGGCTGTTCTTAATAGCCCTCTTTTGCATGATCTTGATATGGGCTCTTGCCACAAGCTTTCAGATGCTGCAATTCGTTCAGCAGCAACTTCATGCCCACAATTAGAGTCTCTAGATATGTCAAATTGCTCGTGTGTTAGTGATGAAACACTACGTGAGATAGCTCTTACTTGTGCTAATCTCCATGTTCTCAATGCGTCGTACTGTCCAAATATATCCCTTGAGGTTAGTTTGTAGTTTTAGTCACTGTCTTTGCTTTAGTGATATTTGGATGTACTTTTTATTTGACAAGCTTCCTTGTTTTATTATTGGAAGTCTGTAAGACTGCCAATGTTGACAGTTCTTAAGCTTCACAGTTGTGAGGGCATCACCTCAGCTTCGATGGCTGCAATATCTCATAGTTACATGCTGGAGGTTTGAATCTTGTGTCAAATATTGGTATTGCTTGTGCTGTCTCACTGACTTCTTTAAACATATTTAATGTAATTTATGACTCATTGTAGGTTTTGGAGCTTGACAATTGCAGCCTACTTACCGCTGTGTCCTTGGATCTCCCGCGCTTGCAGAATATTAGACTAGTACATTGTCGCAAGTACGCTTCTGCAAGCCCATCTCTCTCTCTCTCTCTCTCTCTCTCTCTCTCTCTCTCTCTCTCTCTCTCTCTCTCTCTCTCTCGTATGTATATATATATATATATCAACCCCGAAGAAAACCCTGAAAACATCCCCTTGGGGAGGACAATATATTTTTTACATTGGGTACTTCTCTTGCAGGTTTGCTGATCTAAATCTAAGGTGCATCATGCTGTCATCTATTATGGTGTCTAACTGCCCGGTGCTCCATCGTATCAACATCACTTCAAATTCACTTCTGGTATGTATTTTGAAGAAACAGTTTGAGTCTTCATCATTTGTCAGATACATGAAATCTGAATGAGCAATATTTTGGATTTGCAGAAACTAGCATTGCAAAAGCAAGAAAGCTTAACTACGTTGGCACTGCAATGCCAATCTTTGCAAGAAGTGGACCTTACAGATTGTGAATCTTTAACAAATTCTATATGTGATGTTTTCAGTGATGGTGGGGGTTGTCCTATGCTCAAAATGCTAGTTCTCGAAAACTGTGAGGTTTGTGGATTTGTGTATTCTCATTAGCTGAGTAAATACTGTTGAGAGTTGAATATGCTAGCATACTGGTTTGGTGGGCATTTTTGACATATATGATATATTCCATGTTCCTCTGTAAGTTGATGCTGTAAACTTGGGACTGGAAACAGTGTTGTTTAGGGAGGGTTGACTCATTTGTTTTTAGTTTGATAGACTGAGTTATCTTCTGGTTGTTGTGCGCTCTTCCTTTGGCTGACATAATGTGTGTTCACTTCATTCAGAGCTTAACGGCAGTTCGATTCTGCAGCACTTCTTTAGTCAGTCTTTCACTTGTTGGTTGCCGGGCAATCACTTCTCTCGAACTGACATGCCCTTATCTTGAACAAGTTTCTTTAGATGGTTGTGATCATCTTGAAAGAGCAGCGTTTTGTCCAGTTAAGTGAGAATGAATTATTTTTCTTAGAAAATTTATAATTTTCCTGAACACGAGTTCTACTATACGCATGATTGCTGGTCTTTCTTGAAGATTTATGTCATGAGATGTAACTACTCTATTTGCACTGTTTGTAATGCATGTTAATTCTGCCGTTAAGCAGTCATTAGACAACTGAATCCTTTTCTCATTCAATTCTTCAGGTTGGTCTTAGGTCACTCAATTTGGGAATATGTCCTAAATTGAACGAGCTCAGGATTGAAGCGCCAAATATGGTGCTTCTTGAGTTGAAGGGATGTGGTGTATTATCTGAAGCATCCATCAATTGTCCACTCTTGACCTCTCTAGACGCTTCCTTTTGCAGGTTATTTTCTTTATTTTATTATACTCTACTACCTGGACTGTTTCTTGCCTCCCTCCTTTTCTGCAGGCCTCAATCTAACTAAAATCCCTATTACTTTTGCACATGCAGCCAGCTTAGGGATGATTGCTTGTCTGCAACAGCTGCTTCATGCTCACTGATCGAGTCTTTAATTTTGATGTCGTGCCCCTCTGTTGGTTCCGATGGACTGTACTCTCTGTGCTGGCTTCCAAATTTGACTCTGCTTGATTTGTCCTACACTTTCTTGATGAACTTGAAGCCAGTTTTCGAGTCTTGTATGAAACTAAAGGTGATTTTTACGACCCATACCCTGTTTATTTGTTGAAACATGGAGCATGTTGCTCCTCATACCATAGAATACTTTATGTACATTGAACAGCATATGACACGTTTCTTTATTTGAACTTAAATTATATGAATCTTGGGCTGATTTTTCAACCTTTTATCTTGTTTTTCTTATTTTCCTATCTTCTCCCAGGTGCTAAAATTGCAAGCCTGCAAGTATTTATCTGACTCATCCCTAGAGCCTCTTTACAAGGAAGGGACTCTTCCAGCTCTCCAGGAACTTGATTTGTCTTATGGAACACTCTGTCAGTCTGCTATAGAGGAGCTCCTTTCTTTCTGTACACACTTAACTCATGTGAGCTTGAATGGCTGTGTAAACATGCATGACCTGAATTGGGCTAGCAGTGGTGGGCGCCCTTCTGAATTGTCTAGTATTTCTGCTCCATCTGGCATGTTTTTACCTCAGAGTGCCCACGAGCCAATTGAGCAGCCAAACCGATTACTGCAGAACCTCAATTGTGTAGGTTGTCCAAATATTAGGAAAGTTCTCATTCCTCCAGCAGCACGTTGTTTCCACTTGTCGTCATTAAATCTTTCTCTGTCTGCAAATTTAAAGGATGTCGATGTTGCTTGTTCGAACCTCTGCTTTCTTAATTTGAGGTAAAAATCTCTTTGTATGTTTGGTCCTTGATTTTTATGCTGTTTTATCTTTGCTAACATTTCTATCCCATTTTCAGCAATTGTTGTTCTTTGGAAGTTTTGAAGCTTGATTGTCCTAAATTGACTAGTCTTTTTCTTCAGGTATGCATTTTGTCTCTTATACGACTCCCTTTATATGGATTATCGTTTTTCTTTTAAATATTTTTTATTTTGTTTTTCATGAAAAACTTCATGTTCAGGCATAACGACAAAATCTTAAAAAGAAATGCTTTTATTTATTTGCTTTGGCTGTTGTTTTCACCAGCCATTACTATGGAGGGCTGCTAACTGCTGCTTTTTACTGATATTCTTCCGTAATTTCATTGCTGGGACTTTGTATGTATTAGTCTTGTAACATTGATGAAGCAGCAGTGGAAGCTGCCATATCAAAATGTAGCATGCTGGAGACTCTTGATGTCCGTTTTTGTCCCAAGGTTAGTTCAAACTTCATCTCTCTCTCTCTCTCTCTCTCTCTCATATGATGCTATAATGTTTCAAGAAAACCGGTCTCTTGTACTGTAGTCCAATATTGTCATTTACGGTGATTGACAGCTATGTCCTATGAGCATGGGGAGATTACGTTTGGCATACCCAAGTTTGAAGCGCATCTTCAGCAGCTTGTCACAGTCTTGATCAGAGCAAGAAATGCATCTTTTCTGCGGGACTTGTTGACTCAGCTCTTAGTGTGGCAAGCAGATTTGGTCTATCCAGGAACTTGTATGTAAATTGTGTCATCTATTGTGCTTGTATTTGATTTAGGTATATAGGTAGCGGACATAGGCTTATTATGTAACCATACAATAAGTAATGTTTGTTTCTATGTTGAACTATCATTTGATCCTCTTGAACTCAATTTTTCAGGACGAGTGAAATTCAAAACAATCTGAATTCTATGTTTGTATAGTGTACTGAATTTGGTACCGTCTCTATGTAATGGCCCAATAAATTGTTTTCGTTCTTGATTTATTTTCTTTTGATCCAGTTTCATTTTTCCAAGTTTGTTTATTTCAGTTGGGTTTCTGGAATGAATTATTTGATGATTATACTATTAAAGGTTACCTTTTTTATCCATAGCAAAGCGATCACTTGGCAAGTGAGAAAAAAAAGAAAAGAGAATGGAAACCTGTTGGAACAGTCGATCGATTCAAATTGGTCCATTATGTATTTGTCAATGTAAAAATTTTACGGAGAAGCCGTCCGCGTCTAGTCGTTACATAAACACTTTCATCCTCCACTGGTAATGAATTGGTTTCAAGTTTTGTTGAACAAGAGAGGTGCTTTCCAACAACAGATATAATGTGGGGTGACGAAAAAGAAACCGAGAATCTTGACACGAAGTTTACAAAACATCCACGTATGCGTTAGGAAAATTTCAAAGCTCACGAGTTCATAATATTGATTCCAATTGCTTCAGGTCCGGGTCTGAGATATCAACATCTGCATTCTCTAATGAGCTCCTATAAGAATCGGCCGCGACCTTCCCTTTGTCCAGCACATCTGATGGTACAGTTTTCAGGAGGCTGCAAAGAATGATGGTCTTCAGAAAATGTAGCTTTGTCATGTACGTAGTAAAATAGTAAAACAGTAAAGATTCACCTATCCAATGCACCAAGGGCAGTATTAATCTGTGCCTTCATTGATTTGACCGAAGCTTGTTCTTTCCTTGATGCGTGCAAAAGCAAGGAATCCAGTTCTTCCAAGGCCCTTCAAAAAATTGAACATAGTTGACACATAAATCATAAGAAGCTTGTGGCTGTTCTTGCATCATGGGATTCAGCAGAAGACAGGGCAACCAACCAATGAAAGTGAGAGTACCTGAGACATTGATCAACACTGCTAGAAGCTGTTTTCCCATTGCCATCGTCTGAAGCATACTGCGCCACCTATATTTCCAAACAAAATTTTCCCTTGAGCTCTTAGGAATTCAAGTACACAAAACTTCCATAATGCAAATGGAAACAAGCATGTAGACTGATGCCAATTGCTTCTCAAGGAAGGAACCCTCAACTTACAGCTCTAATATTTACACGAAGGGACGCTGCAGGGCCTGAACGTAGCAGAGACCGGCAGGTAGCAAACTGGGGCTCATCACCTTCCAGAGATTTCTCTGCACTTGGTGAAAGATTATATCAACACAACTCTGCTACTATAAGGACTTAGTAAGTGTACTTTAAAGAAAAAGTGTCAAATGGAAAGAGAGGAGATGCATAAATCATCAAAAATGGCAACACAGAAATCAGTGGCCAAACAAAACAAAGGCAAAGGCAATTACCCAAGTCCATGATTTGTAATTGGGTCAATATGACTGGCGACACATAAGCCTCAAGAGGGTCAAGCTTTTTCCTGGGTTTATCATAATTATGCAGAATTATGAGCTAAAGCTTTAAACTTTATGGCCTAATAGCTATAAGCTGATTGAAGGCATTACCTTTTCACATACTTATCGAATGGACTGCCAGCAACAGCATCTGCAGCAGCAACCCAATACGAAATGCAAGTTACGTTTTTGATTAAAAATCTTTAATTTTCCTTTCTGGCCAACCAAACAGAGAAGAAGGATAAAAATATAGCAGAGTTAAAGAGCCGTACAGTTAGGGACAAGGATCAAATTAGAGAGACCTAGAGACAGAGAGATGGAGACCAATCGCCTGCTCTCCCGCCAATTCGACGGTGACAATGCGCACCTCACTCGCGGCAGCTTCTTTGCAGTTGCGGCGAGCTTTATGGGCTGTGAAGGAAGGGGAGCTAAGGAGCTAAAGGGGTTTGTGCTAACGTGCGCAGTGCTGCTCAATGCGGCCATGCCACCAGACCTGTCTAAGACACACATAAACGGTGAAGAATCTGCAAGGCTTATCGATTTGGTTATCTCAAACTTCCATATATGCCCTTAGATGTTTCTCCATTTAAGAGGCCTAGGTGGTTGTGTCCGAGGGTATTTTTGTAATTGCAATCTATCCACAGTAGTTAACTAACTAAGTATAATGAAAGGCCTAGAGGGGCCTCCATAGCCGCCATTCATAAACTGTATTAACTGTCAATAATTGGACAATTAGATTCAATGTTTAGGCTGCCCCCAAGTAACACAACGGCACAATGGAAAGCTGTTGCACCAACCAAGCCATGCCATGAGTGGCAATGGCTTAGCTTCAAAGGAACATCCATGATCCAAATCCGGGTTCGACCCGGTTACCCGGTTGGTGACCTTGCATTGCCACAGGGCCCACAACCACAACCCACAAAACAAGTTTTCTCCTTTTTTTAAACGGAAAATAATTTTTAAAAATGGAAAAAAAGGAGCAAATAATAGCTGTCCGTTTTAGTAAAGCTCGCACCCGAGTGAAGCCGACACATTACTGGCTTCATCTAACTCTCTAATTAGAAACTTAACTCTCTCTCTCTCTCTCTCTCTCTGAACTGCAACCAGACCACAGCAAAGCAACAATGGCAAAGAGCACATGGTTTCTTCTAGTTTCTCTTCTTGTTGTCTCTGCTGCAGCTGCTACTCAGAGTAAGTTTCCTGCAAATCTACAACACATACACAAAAGTGGTTTCTTTCTTTATGCATATGTTTATGGTAGGACACTGTGACCTTGGAATTGTGTCATGACTCAGATTTGGAACTTATATCTAAGTGGGTACCAAATGTTGGATCTGCTTTAGGATTTCTGGGACTCTGTTTCTTTACCTTGAGTTGAGTGTGTGTCTTTGATACATTTTCTGAATGTGGCTACACTACTCACTTCTGCATTTGCATACAAGTCTCTGACTTTATTGGTTGGAGTTTAAGTTGGCCTTAGATCTCTCTGGTCAAGATCAGAGCCTACATTTTAAGTTACTCGATCTATTTTGGTGGAAGATTTTTCACTTAAAAGTCTTCATCTTTTTTTTTCTTTTTCTTTTTTTAATGTTTCTAATTAGCTGTTGTAGTCATGTTGATTTTGTTTGCTGACAAAATTTGAGGGAAACAAGAAAAACAAATATTACAATTTTGGATCTTGGAGTTTACATGATTTATGCTTGATTTACAATAATGATAAAGAACGAAAAGCAGAAAAACTTCAAATTATTTGAACCCAATATTCTCCTTGAAGAATTAGTTTTTGGTAACCAAAACAATAGATAGATTTTATGAGTTGGGAGATTTTTTATTTTTTTTGCTTCATAGTTCGGTTCTTTCCATCATTGGGTTCAGTTTGACTTATCAATTGCATGCTCTCAAATAGCGTTCTTGTGGGATCCAAAATAATTTTTCTTGTTTTTGGTTCGTTATTTGTTATATTGGTATTATTGTGCTTGGGGATCAGGGAAACTTATGAACTCCCACTAATGAGATCATATGTGAAAATTGCAGTCAAAGTTACTGATAATCCTGCGGATGAGTTAGTGAGTGTGATTAACAGCAACAGAACTGCACATAAGGCTTCGACCCTCTATGACAACCCTGGCTTGGCCTGCATTGCCCTGCAGTACATAAAAGCATACCAAGGTGACTGTAGTGCTGTAGGAGGATCTGACGCCAAGAAGCCCCCTGAATCTGAATTTGCCGAAACTTTTGCCCCCAATTGCGGTGTTCTAGCCTCAACCCTCACTCCAATTACCGGTCGTTTACTTGGCTGCCAGTCCAAATATGTGCCTCCTTCTGATGCATTTTCAAAAATCTTGATTGAAAACAGCAAGAGCTTAGAAATTCTCTACAACAAGAACCACACTGAAGTGGGAGCTGCTGTGAGTGGCAGTGATAGAGGGTCTCCATATTTCTGGTGTGTGTTGTTCAGCAGTGGCAAGACTAACAGCAGCTTTGCAACAGAGAGAGGCGGGCCTAAAATAACAAGACCCGGATGCTTTAGTGGTGCTGATGACGAGTGCAGTGGTGCCGAAGATCGATCTAGAAGCAGTCATATGTGGTCATTTTTCACCGCAGCTCTGATTGCAATGTGGTATGCCTTTGGATTGTGAAAATCTGGATTGTTTTCCATGTAACTTCGGGGCCCCTTTTGATCTGTTGTATTGATGGGCTTTGTCCTCTGTAAGCTCATTTTCATTGTACGTAGAGTCAAACTGCGAGATCAATGTCATTCATTTTCTTCAGTTATTCCCTTACTTGTAAAATATTATTGGCTGCGAAAGGAGCATTCATTTTATATTACTCATTGAATGATAAACGAAACTGTTTAGTTCTGCTATTTTCTTAATTTGGTTTGATTGGAAAGACAATCTTAATTCTATTTGTATGGTTTTGTGTGGGGAGAGAATTCCTAGGATTTTCGAGAGGTGAAAAGGTTTTTTTCTTCTTCTTTTTTCCTTTCAGTATTGAGAAGCTGCTGAATCTTGGCTCAAAAAACAAAGACTTCAAGACTTCCAATTCAACAAGAAGCTGCTTATTATTTATATAAAAAAAGATACATGAACTTTGTTCTGTAAAGCGATAAGCAAATTACATGGCAGAAAACAAGTACTAAAAAAGATTTGAGCTAAGCCTCCCAGTTCCTAATAGAAGCTTTAAACTTCAACACCAACGCAAGAACCATGAGAATTATCGTGATGCCACTAGAAGAACCGCCAACTCTGTGAATCCAGTTAGGATCAAACCTGGTAAAGCTTCGGTCCAAGTAAAGCGACAAAGTGAGGGCCAAGATCAACACCAAGAGCAGCAGAGGCAGCCAAGAAGCAAAGTTAATAGGCTGCTCCAAATCAAGTTCTGAATCATCTACCGTTGTCCGGTCGATATAAAGAGGAGAAAGCACAGCTAGAAGGGCCAACCCGATGGCCACCAACCTCTCATATGAAGAAAACCTGCTCGTCCTCCTCGATGCAGCTCCAGGCTCCATTCAGGAAACTACCTCAGGACTCAGGACAACCCACCCTTTCTCGTCTAACTTGGCTCTGTTAAGAATGCAAGACTTACAAAGTGAGAACCAACATACCCTCCATTCCGAAAAAGAAGTCTGCTCTGTGGAGTGCATAGGACTAGTTATAGCTCACTCTCTATCCTGTTCGTCCAATTGAATTACTGAATTACTTTTTCGAAACAGAAGCTTATCTTAGTTTGTTTATCAGCGCAGATGTCCAATTTGATGGTTCTGATAGAGAGTTTGACCCAAGGATCCTTCCAGAAACTAGGAGATAATTAAATTTTCCCTTCAAGACTAGGGAGTTAGCATCTTAACCATGAAGGCTCTAGTGTCAGATTGAGTGGGATAATTTATTCTCCATTAACGAAAATAGCCTTTTGGAATCGGATGCTATATGCGTCACATGGATTTTCAAGACTCTTGCCATATGAATCAAATTGTTGAAAACACAACTATAGTTAATCTCGATTATCAAGAAAAGGAATATGGGTCATGAATGATAGACGAACTATAAAAGCAACTTGTGTCTAAACCCAACAACGAAGAAGGTGGAAGCTGCCTGTACGACTTCCACAGTTCAAACTTTTCTCCAAACTAATTTATCTTTGAAACTTCGTTTTGGGAAACATTCCATGGACCTGAAGAGTGAAAACTAGGCTCAACATTGTCCAATTGAAAACCATCTAGAAATGGGCTTCTGTCCTCAAATATCATCACTTGATCAATAAACTAAAATATGGGCTTGATAGCAGCTGATATATCAAAACTGCATCAGACTAGTAACCAACCACTCCTGTGTAAAAAAATATATATATAAATTTGCCATATGCTTTCATCCTTAATGCTTACATTTTTGGCATCAATGCACCACCACCTTTTATGCTAGGCAAAAAAAAATTTGTGCGGTTTCAGCCAAGTACACAGAAAGAAAGAAATAAATAGCCGTAAGATTAGTGACGAGTACTCGAATATTACAAAAAAAACAATGGAGGGTAAAGCCTAACTAACACCACCAGAGCTCTTCGTGTTGTTTCCCTGAAGCCTTGTCATCCATTTCTTCTGAGATGTAGAGAGGTTAGTAATTCCTGCAGGAGAAGCAGTGACTTGTTGTGATGAGGCTGGAAGCTCTGCAGGTAGAGCAGCAGCTGTGCTTGTAAAGGCATTCAGAACCAAAAATGCCAGAATGGGAGAGAGGTCCAATGTGCCTCCAAGTGGTGGGATTAGCCCACGAAATATGTTCAAGTAAGGATCACATATTGTGCTGCACAATGCACCACATCCACATCATAGTCAATTTGATGTTCTTTTACATTAAAACTTTATGAATGGGATACACTAAAATGTGCGATCTTTATTCACAGACTAACAATATAACTCGGCCGAAGTCAAGATCAAATCTTTATTAAGTTACCAAAACATTATTGTAAATGTATCCAATAGTAAAGTGAATAGAAGAGGTTAATTAACAAGGGTACCTGAGGGGGCCAACAATGGCAGGAGGGGAGTTGGGGAACCAGGTCAAGACAAGCCTCACAACCAAGAGAGTGTTGTACAAGTTCAAGAAGTTGGAGATACCATTTGCCACCACAAGCCCTGCCACTGAATCTCCTGGTAAAACCGCTGCAAAATTGTGAGCTGATAAAGTCTCCACCTGCCTGTGCTTCCTGCACCTAATCTGAACGCACCCAGAAGAAAAAAATACAAAAAAAGGTTGAAGCTTTAGTTACACTTGCATTGATAAATTTGAAGTTAACCATGAAATCAACGCAGAGAGACGTGCCTGGTGGCAAAGACTTTGAAATTCAGAACGCAAAGAGAGCAGTTTGCTGAGAAACGGGTTTTGAGAAGCCAATGAGTGAAGCAATTGGAGACACTTATCAGTGGCGGAAGCAATTGAGGCTGGAATGTCGGGAAGAACCAAATTGGGCTTCTTTAATGGCGATGCTCTGAGAAACGGTGCAAAATTGGTTGAAGAAAGTAGCATTGCGCAGTTTGGAGCAAAATTGGAGGCTAAGGGCTTCGGGGTCTCGGTCGCCGATGCCGACTCACTGTGAGCCATTTTCGAGCGTTTGTGAGGAAGCAGAAGCAAAAGCAGAAGCTGAAGCTGAAGCTGAACCAGATAAAGCGTGGATCAGGGAAGATATAAAATATTTGGATAATTTTGTTGTGTCTCATGCGGTGTACTTGTTACGACGACGTTTCCTCTCCACTCGTTTTTCTTTGGTGGGTACTTTACTACTTGGTAGTTCACCTATTTAGCTTCCTAGTTTAATAATCCCCAAAATAAGCAGAGGTATGGGTACTCCTCATATATAACTCCATGTGAGTTTGGATTCAAGTTGTATATTTGTTCTCACTGTATTGTAAAAAAAACCCTGCCACTGAATCGACTCGTTCTCGCTTTCTATTGTATTAAAAAAAAATTGGATTTATTGATATCTCATAAGATCCATTATGGCTACGACAGACCAGATCACATGTGTATTGACCAGTCGAGTATGGTGGACCAAGAATCGGACTAATGATCGGATGTGTAGGCACGTACCCGATCAAGGGTAAATGGGGGTGCATGGGCAACCAACAAATTCGGTCAGACTTTCACCAAGATGACCACTCTGCCTCTGCGATAAATAAAGCTGACAAGTAAAGGGAATCAGTTATATGCGCGTCCCATCCTGGACCAGGTGTCGCCTTACCTTGATATTTCTAAATGGACAGGCTGGTGATGGAGAGGGATAATTTATTATACCTCCCATCCATGTGCGCCTGTCACTTCTCTTTTTGACTCCTGTCAAAGCAATATGGTGGTGTTCACCCCGTTTTGTGATTTCTCCTTAGATGGAAGGGCAAAGTTCCCTACTGCCTTGAAAACCATTTGCTGGTCAACAAGTCAACTTTCTTTGGTGTATGAGCGTGCCACTACTAGCAATGAAGATTCTAGCATACTTATTTTAGAATAGATAACTTGCGCCCCAAGTCACTGATTTCTATTAACAAATGATTGTGAATTTAGGTGAGGAATATCTCCCAAGTAAGTTCTTTTCTTGCCTCAGACTGGTGAGGACTTCAACAATTTATCTCAGTAAAAAGAAGTTGTTCTGGCCAGAATGGTTGATGGAATTTAAGTTGTCTTAGGCAGAACTGCCTTTTACAAAACTATAAAAATAAATACCCACGCTAGAAAGATAAAAAGATAGCTGGAACTCCATTTCTGCCTGGATGGGAGGCTCTGATCCGGGCTGGACTGGAAATATCTGGGCTGGACTGAACTGTTAACAACTTCGACTGCTAAGCTTCAGCTGTAAATCGATACCAAATGTCAATTTTGGCATAGCTTTAATATACTTCAAGCTTTTGTGAGGCTTTTGAGTGGGCAGAACTGCGGCTTCTTCAGTCTGAAAGGGCAGAAGTGGTTGTTCTTGAGGACTTCAGTGGGCTAGAGACTGCACTGTGAAATTTGTTAAGGCTTTCATGTTTGGGAAAAGCTCAAGCTCTACATGTCTTAGTTTTTTGCTGAACCAAATTTGTAACGAGAGAAATCTCGTTTTAAATGACTTATTTTCTAAGTCTGAACCTTGGGAATTCTGATCTAAAGCTGGTTTCACTTGGAATTCAAGTGAGCTTCTGGTTGATTTTGAGTTGTTTGTTTGGTTGATGATTTGAATGTAGGATTGATTGTCCTCTGCCCTGTTCACTCCTTCTTGTATTTATAAGAAATGTTTTCTAGAGTAGGGTGATTTCTTTTAATAATAGGCGGCAAATCCTTTCAAAGATCTGCAAAGAGATACAAGAGAGGGAAGGATTTAATTTAATTTAATTATGTCAGATAGGCTTTTATCAATCAATCTTTGAGATCATTTCCCTGTTTTTTTTAAAAGAAGCCTAATTCTTTTTCCCACTTTAACTGCCCCTTGTGAGATTTCAACCGTGATGGTTAGTTTGATTTCCCAGATGAACAACTCTCTGTCCTCCTGCTTATCTCCTTTTTGAAAATATTGCCTGCGTATCTCTTGAAAGGATGGTGCCTCCTTGGAGTGAAATCAATATTTTTGAATATATAAGAAAGATTTTGATCATCTGGTGGCAGAAATTCAGAGAAGTCTTTTTGCCACTGACCTGCTTTAATTAATTATCAATCAACTCAGTTGAGTTTGTTGACTTTTCCATTTTGGTAGTCACTTGGGTCTGAAAACGGATCTCTTCCTTTTTTTCTTTTAATCATGTTGTGCCCATTTTGATTTGTTTGGAGCCCAAAGGTAAATGCTTTTCTTTGGAACTCAAGTTTGCTTGCCACATTTTGATGAGTATTGGGCTAGGCCTCTCTGGACTTTGGACTTTGCCTTCCGTTTTGCAAAAGCCCAAACTGCTTGAGTCCTGTAGCTTTTATTCTGGGCTTTTCTTTTTGTTGGACTGGGCGTGCCAATTTAGGCCCAAACAGGTGGTTTAGAACAGAACATTAAATGTAACTCAGGATAGGGAAAAGATCTCTTCCAAAATATCTTGACCTCCCCTTCTCCCTCCTATAAATACCCCTCACCTATCTTTAGACAAAGATAATAAATAACTCTACACATAATATAAACCCTACCTCCATTCTCTCTAGCAAAAGTTAGTTTCTGACTTAACCATCGAAAAAAGTTAGACTGGAATTAGCCCTAGTCCGCCCTAATTATGATATCATTCGAAGTGTGCAAATCTTTTTTCGGAGGTCATCTACACTTGTGGGCCTTGCACGGACCCAAGCCCCCCGGATCAAGCCAAGCTATCTATACAAGGACTCACGGTGTACAGAATTCGTACCTCAAATGTCACAAAGCAAGTAGTTCTTTTATATCGCTGATATCAAATGACATATTTTCGGCTGATATAAGTACAATGCAATATATGAAGCAAGATTAATCGATACAAGCATGATAATATAAACTTGTTATATTATGCACAACACGAGAAGAACGAGCCCAAACAAGACAATAATAATTAAATATATTTTTTTCGTTTTTTCTTTTAAATAAGCATATCTAGTTAGAAAAATGATAAATAACAGAAAATGACAAAAGCAAAGGGCACCCCGGGTGACCCGTTTAAGCCCAAGATGAACATAGAACGCACGTAGGCCCAAGTTTAGGCCCGAAGACCGTATTGGGTCATCACTTTAAATATTCCACACGAGGGGCATAATAGTCAATCTACAACCTGTTTGGGCAAATATTATCTTTAGCAGTTTTTAATATTTTCTGGTTGAGCTCATTTAAAACGAGGTTGATTAAAACGAGCTGCTCACAGACAAAAGATGAACCGGAGATGATAATAATGTGACGTGTCAAATTATATTTAATTATAGCGCCAATAGTTTAACCAATTCAACGACCACCTCTACCTTTCCCGGTCATCGTCCACCACGGCCTCTTCTCTTCTCTATCAGATCTCTCTCTTCCTCTTTCTCTCTATCTCTCAGTTGCTGAAGTGAGCTTCTCTCTCTACAGGCTATATACCGATGGTGAATGGTATGCTAAGGCTCTCTCTCTCACCTGACCCAAAGCTTCTCTTCAGCTACAGTTCCAGCTCCAATGTTGACCGATTCGCCTTCAACTTCAAGCCTCACCTCCCGCAACGTCGTCGTTCCAATCCCCTCCTCCAGCCCCGCTCAAACTCTAATTTCACTCTCTCCAGCTCCCTCCAAGCCTCGGCTAACACCGCGGCGCTTCAGCAAGTTCAGCAAGAACCGCGCGCCGCCGAGACCTCGGTGCTGCTCGACGTCTCCGGGATGATGTGCGGCGGCTGCGTCTCGCGAGTCAAATCGGTGCTCTCCGCCGACGAACGAGTCGACTCTGTTGCGGTCAACATGTTGACCGAGACGGCGGCGATTAAACTGAGGCCGGAGGTCGCCGCCGACGGAGTTGAGACCGTGGCGGAGAGCTTGGCCGGGAGGTTGACGGAGTGCGGCTTTGCGTCGAAGAGGAGAGCTTCCGGGATGGGAGTGACGGAGAGTGTGAGGAAGTGGAAAGAAATGGTGAATAAGAAAGAGGAGATGTTAGTGAAGAGCAGGAACAGAGTGATTTTCGCTTGGACTTTGGTGGCCTTGTGTTGTGGATCACACGCTTCCCACATTTTGCATTCTCTTGGAATTCATGTAGCTCATGGTAACACTAGTGATAACAAAAAATGATTTCTTTGTTTAGAAATTTTAATTTTGTAGACACATTAAATTTGTGTTGTAATGATTTAGGATCGTTTTGGGAGGTGCTTCATAATTCGTATGTGAAGGCTGGTTTGGCTTCTGGAGCTTTGTTAGGACCCGGACGAGGTTGGTTGGTCTTCTGCAATTTACTTGTACTTCCAAAATTCTTTGATTTCAATCTGCCAAGCAGTAGTGCTCTAGCATAATGTGTAGTTCACAACTTCAGTTTCAATTTGTCCCAGACTTGCTTTTTGATGGTCTGAGAGCCTTAAAGAAAGGATCCCCCAATATGAATTCTCTTGTGGGATTTGGATCCCTAGCTGCTTTCACAATTAGTGCGGTCAGTCCCACTTTTTCAAAAAATTAGCATTAGCATTCCAATTTGTTTTTGTTTTAAATTGTGTAATTTGAATTATTTACTCTTGTAGGTCTCGCTTCTTAACCCTGGCCTTCAATGGGATGCGTCGTTCTTTGATGAACCGGTGACTGGTTTTGCTTTCAACCTTTGCATTGTTTATAGTTTATGATTTTTTTCTGCTTTTTGTACGATCCTACTAGCAGTTTGTTGATATCTATTCGGGAGTTACAATAGTATTTCATTTACAACAGTTAATCCTGATAGAAAATGGTCAGTTGTCAGTTACGTTGTTATTAGGCCATAACTCCATATTTATGTTTATAACAATGGCTTGCTGTAACTGTAGATTGTTCTCTACATACTTGTATATATATTTTGTATAATGATCATATGAATAGCTAAGGGAAAATCAGTTTCTACATGGTATCAGAGCTAATGGCTAAGGCTAACGCCAATTAGCGATCCTCCAATTGCCAACAATGAGAGTCGTTGGCACTCCTCATTCCTCACCCTTAAGGGTGTT